AATTTATAATCTTAATAAAAAGTCGATTATAAAGTTGCTGCGCCCTCATTTTCCTCACCACCCCGCATTCCCCTCCACCCATCCCCGACCCCTACATCCCCCTTTATCCCCTTCCCGAAACCCCCCCGGACCCGCAGAGCCCCGCGCAGGTTTGGGCCCCCCCGCCGCCCCCCGTCCCGCACCTCTGCGCGTTCCCCGATGCGCTCGGGAAGTTTTTTTTGAGTTGGAGTTTGTTATCCCCGCGCGGTGCCGCTGGGTGGTGCGTGTGGGTGGTGGTGGTGGTGGTGGGTTCCCCCCCCTTTTTGCGTGCGTCTCTCTTCCCCCCCCCCCCCTCGCCCCACTCCTTCAAACCAAATGAATGAAAGCCGCGGGTTCTCCCGTCCCACCCCCGCGGGATGCGCGAATTACCGTCAAGATCTTTAAAAATCCCGTGCAAAACGCTCGCAGTTCCCACCCCCAAGCCCGCACCGACACACGGACACCCGCAGACCCTCCAAACCCGCACTCTTTCCCTTTCCAGGAGATGAGGGGGAGGGGCGGCCAAAATTGGGGTTACGGAGGTTGGGAGGGAAGGGGGGGCAGCTCTGAAGCTGAGCCGGCAGCGGACCCCCCCTCCGTCGCTCCGCGCCCACCGCGCCCCCTGGTGCCCGCAGCGCGCCCCGCAGCGCCGGAAAGGGGGGTGGGCGGTTGGGGGTCAGCCCCGACCTCAGTGCGGGGCAGGGAAGGGACCTCCGACCGTTTGAGCCGGCAACGGATGGAGCGGGGCCGGGGGCTCCCGAACGGCACCGTGCGATCAGAACGGTGGGAAAAGACCCCCGGGATCGGCGGGTCGCACCGTCAGTCCGAGCATCGCCCCGACGGGGGAAGCGCGGCCGCAAACGGCGCGTCGGGGAGTTCTGCACGCGGATGGCGATGGGGCAGCAAAGCCCGGAGCACCGCACCCCCTCCCCCAACCCCCGCACAGACGGAGGGGCCGAGGCTGTGCTCACTGAGCACACGATCCTCACTTCGCCCCGCTCCCCATCTCCGGCCATTGGGGTTCCCAGAGGACGCAGAGCCCCGTCACCCACAGAACTCCATTCCCGCTGCAAACTTTCTGAGGCTCCCATCGCAATTTTCAAAGCCTGAAATGGACAAACCCAGCCCCGTAGGACAGATAACCAGCGGGTGAGGGACACCCCATAGGGACGTGGGTAAAAATCCCTGACACCGAGGAACGAGCAGAACTCCAAACTCCACAGAGCCACCGCGACCCCAGCGCTGTCCGTTACTTATTTATTCCCAGCCCCGGTACATGACATTTCTGTGCTGAAGAGGCAGCAGAAAGCCCATCACAGCCTCTCCTGAAAGCAGAGCCTGGAAACCGGTACCTCATTTGCATATTCATAAGCACCTGATAAATTAATCATGATGGCAGAAGCACTCGGGCTGGCAGGGAGGTGACGGGAAGGCTGCACCCCGACAGCCACATCCCCCGCACCTCCGGGCTCCAAACAGTTCCACCCCTCCATAACCCACAGCCCGGAGTGATGCTGAGTGCAGTGTGGTACCCAAAGTCCTCCCCCCAAGCTCTGCCCTATGGTGTCACACAGCCATGGCTGAGTTTGACAGCCCAAACCCCTTGGCATCCCATCTCCTCATACCCTGTGGCCAAGCAGAGGTGGTTTAGGGCTCTGGGAGGGAGCTGGGCTGGAGCAGAGCTGCAGGAGGATCCCATTCTCAGGATCAGGGGCTGCTTTTGTGCTGAGCCCCTCAGTTTGAGGGGAATGGGCCACCTCCCACCCAGAGAGATGCTGCCTCCAAGTAACGGGCCTCACATCCCATCCATTCCCCTCTTCACTCATGGCCACACTGCGTCCCACAGCTCTGCAGAACCCTGCAGTAGTGTTTGGGAGCTGATTAAAATTTTTAGGGGCTCCTTAGGATGTTACACATTGTGCTGAGTGCTGTAACCCACAGCCCAACCACTGCCAGGCCCAGGGCAGCAGCTGCATGCAGGGACATCACTGCACACACATCAGCTCTGTGCACCCCCCCAGGACCCACAGCCCCCGAGCCGTGTGCCCCCCATCACACTGCCCCAGCTCAGATAGGAACGAATGGAAGCACATTTGGGGATGTGGTGTGAGCAGATGTCTGAGCTCTGCTGTGCACAGAGAACAGCAGCAGAGCTACAGGGATGCTCAGCTGTGAGGTCCAGGCAGCGCTCCTGTGAGCGGCGTTTGGTGCGTTGGGTTTGGGCCCAATGCAGGTAATTAGCATTGGAGTGGTAATTACTCACATTTGGCTTTCCTACATCCTGCTCATAGAGCTGATGGTTACAATGCTGCTCAAGTGAAACCCACCTCGGGAAGTTCACAGGGGCTGCGTTGTAACCAAAGGCACCATCCAACAGAAAACAGCACAGGGAGCAAAAGGCAAAGCAGCAACTTTGAGCGCAGAGCAGCCACTGCCAGCACACAAACACCAACACTGCAAAGCAGAAGCAGAACCTCTGAGCACCGACATCTCGGTGGCTGCGATGGCACCACACAGATACACAGCAAAACCCACGAGGGGTCTCTGAAACAACGAGTCACTGCCTCACAAACACAGAAACAACAGAACCCAGCTGCTCCCTCCCAAAGCAGAGCTCAGAGCCCAGCACACCCTGCTCACCTCAGCTCCCCAGTGAGTGGCTGCACTGCTCAGGTCATCCCAGTCCCTCCTGGAAGGACACGAGAGGAGAAAAGGGGAAAGCAACCGAGCCTCAAACCCTGCTCTTATCTCCCCCTGCCTCCATGATTGGGCTGAGGGAGCAGCCCCACACCTGCCAGGGGCCATCTCTGAACTTAGCCCCCATCAGCCCTGCTCTTAATTGTTCCCAGGTGGGGGGAAGCAAACAGCCCTCCTATGAGGATCGACCGAGCCCAGGGCATGCTCTGCACACCCCCAGTTTGGTTCATGAATCTTCCCCCACTTTCATTTCTTTATTTCTGTAGTAATCTCACAACGAGGCAGTGGCTTCCCCTTTCTCCTCCCCGCACAGCAGCATTTGTGCTTTTTTAACCAGTTTCCCCAGGTTTTACAGCATGGAAGTGGACGTTGATGTGAATGGAGGCAGCCACCTGCTCCCTGCCCACACCCCCTATTCCTGAGCTCCCCAATGGAATCACGGAACCATGAAGGCTACAAAAGACCCTGACGACCCTCCAGTCCAACCACCCTCCACTGCTGACCACTGTGCCACGTCCCTCAGCACTGCCCCTGCCCTTAAGCACCTCCATGGTCAGTGACCCCATCCCTTCCCTGGGCAGTGTCATCCTGCCCCATCTCTCTCCTTGCCCACCCTGTGCTCCATGCCATGCTCCAGAATTTGCCCCCCCCCTCTCCCCCCCTTAGGGTCTACCAGAGGGGTTTTCTCTCCTTGCGCTGACAAAGGGCAGCATTGATGATCCTAACCCCAAATTCCCCACGTCACGGACACCCCAGCAATTACCAAATGCTCCCAAGCTCGCTCCATAAACCCCTTTGCTGCCGCTATTAGTATGCATTAACATTTTATTGGTGTTACAGGATGAAACATCCAGTCGTGCAGCTCCAGTGGGCTTGGGGATTTCCAGCATCCTGCAATATGTATCCGTGCAGAGGAAATTAAAATGTGGATGGATCAGCAAGATACAGTCAAATCCTCTACAGTAATTTGGAGAAGACTAAACTCTGCTGCTAGTGGAGCATATTCCAGGCGATCTAATAGAGAGCTGATGGTCCTGTAACAGCCTTTTTGTAAGTTTTATTCCTGCCTGCAAGGGAGTTTTATCGAAGGGGAGATGTAATACCTGAAGTCATATTTTTAAAGGTGTATGGCCTGAGCACAGAGAAAGGCCGACGCTTTGAGGAATGGCCACCTCCAGCAATCAGCTCCTCCCCACATCCAGTGGGGCATCCAATAAGTAACACGCTCCAGTATCTTAAAATCTAGCTGGAGTTTCTTTATAGCCACCACGCCACTCAGTTCATAGAGTTTGTAGCCCTGATAGGTCATAGTGATGCTCAGGAATATTGGAACGGTTTGCTCTTCTAGCTATAGCACACTGTGTATTTCTTTTGGTCTGGATGAAGCTCAAAGTGTTGTGCCTACATGGAGGCTGCAGAAAAGCAGTGCCATCCCTGGCACCAAACTGGGAGAAATCCACATCAGAATGGGTAATTTGGGTATCCTGACTATGCACTGCTTGGATTTCTCTCTCCCATGAGTTTTAGAAATAGAAGAACCACATGGAACCTCTTCTCTGCTTTCTCTCCTTCCTCCATCCCTAAGCTCAGCGGATCCCAGGGCACAAATTTAACTGTAACCCACCCACATTGGGACCCCAGCCCCAGTTCCAACGTGCTGAGCACCTGGTGAGGGATTCGGATGGCCTTTATTGGTACCATTGCAACGGGGAACATGGGCAATGGGGAATGACTTCTTCCAGCTTTAGCATCACGTGCACATACACCTGCAGGGAGCGCTCAGTGCCGGCATTCCCAAGCTTGGACTTTTTATAGCAACCAGGAGAATCCTTCCACCTCCCAAAGGCCTCTCCTGGCCACCCAACCCAATGATGCCCCTCAGGGCTCAGTCCTTGCTGGAGCCCATAGAGCTGGGGCAGCCCTCCTCCAGCTGGGCTCGCTCCAGTTCACAGTTTGGCACCATTTTCACAAGATTGGTCCCCAGGACGCTCAGGAGTCAGTGAGAAAGGTGCTCCCTGCTGAAGGTGAAGCCACGTTAATTAGGACAAACATCTCTTCTTCCTGGCTATTGCAGCACGGAACGGCCTCCAGAAGCTCTGTCAGATTCTACACCTGGGCCAGGAAAGCCCTTCTTTGAAGCAACAACGAGACCCCCATGACCTGTTCCATTGCAGAGGCTCCCAGCAGCACGTCGGCTCGGGTTTGGATGAGAAGCAAATACAGCAGCGATGCCACAACACAGTTCTGGCTTTTATTCCTACCACCACCACGCGAGGCTGCTTCTCTCAACTCGTACTTCATTTATTACCAGCTGTCACCAGCATTTATAAAAGAGGGCTGCAAAGACAGAGGCGGGGAAGGCCGGTGGTGACCTGTGGAACACAAAGCAGCAGCAGAACAGCAGCCCCTGAGCCCAGGCACCGCAGCCCAGCTCAGCCCAGCTCTGAGAAATGCATCAAAAATCCCAGCTTGCTCAATGGGGAGAAACCCACTTTAAATCTGCTGTGCTCACCAAGGGACGCATCCAAGATGAATGCAAAGATGTTTGACCCAAGATGACATTCCCCACTCCCATCTGTGCACACACACAGCCGGCCCCGTGCTGACAGAGAAGATAAGAAACCTAAGCACAGCTATGCCGGCTCCCACCGCTCCTGAGAAGTTCCAGGTATAATTTTCTACAGGCGTCCAACAAAGCTGCTGAGCTAAACTGATGCTGGAAGTGCTGAGTCAGCACCTACGGCAGGACAGGAAAAACATCTGAAGGAAAAGGGTTCCAGTTCTCAGCCTCAGAAACGCGGCTCAAACGGCCTTTGGTCATGAGAGTCTCTGATCTTCAAGAGGTACTTGGTGGCACAGCACCCAGGTGCCAAACCCCAGTCGGGAGGGAGGGGCAGATGGAGCACAGTGGTTTAATAAATAAATCAAACGCAGCGTGCCACGGAGAGAAAGAGGCTAGCAAGGGTACACAGGCAGCCTGGATGTGCTTGCTTCATGCAGTGCAACAAGAAGTCGGTTTTGGTGCCAGCATGCAGCCAACAAACAGGCGAGTGGCTCTGCAAAGCATCTTCCCAACACCACAAAGAGGGAACAAACCCCACGCAGGAGAGACCAACACAGGCACTGGTGCAAAACAGAGACTTTAATTAAAACCACAATGTTGGGGGGGGGGTAGAGGGGTGGGGAATGCTCCGGCCCCAGGCGCTGCTGATGGCGGAGCTGTAGGAGAGGAGCTGAGCCCCGAGAGCCCATGCTCACTGCTGGGAGCTGGAGGAAGGCGAGCAGCCAAGTGCCACCTACAGAGATCCATCTCACACGGTGTAAGACAAGAATGAGCTGCTCCAAGTGCACAAAGCCCCAGCAGAACAGAAGCACAGATTCAGGCAAGCAAGAGCTACCTGTGAGCCTCTTCCCACTCCTTGGTGGGTCCCAACCCGGGGACACCATCCCTGCAGAGCGGCTGCAGGGGAAGGAAGCATCTCCCCACCCTTTTTTGCTGTAGTTCACATTCTGGGTGTCCCTCCCAGTACACAGGGTGTGGATGTTGACATTTCCACCCATCCTTTTACATGGAAGCCCCGTTTCCATAGGATTACTGGGAGAAATGCATCTCCAGCCCTTGGGCAGGTTTGGGAAGCCACAGACTTTAGCTCAGCCCTCACCAGCCAGATGCCATGCAGTCAGTTACAGCGTGGTGACACTTGCCAGAAGCCACACAGCAAGGAGAGGGGATGCAGAAGGAGAAGCCTGAGGTCTGCTCCACCAGAAGCAGGCTCCCAACAAGCACAGAGCTCCAGCCCTATTCCCACTTGTAAAGCGAAGATGACACACACATCTCGTTAACAATTTGAGATTAGAATAAGACTTGAGTTTTTCATTATTTAAAACGGACATCTATAGTTGGTTGAGGCAGCTCAGATCCATGCCCAGCTCAGGACAATGGCAGAAAGCTCTGCTTTAGCTCAGCAGCCACCTGCTCTTCGCTTCCTCTTATTTAGCAGTGCATCAGCAAAAGGCAAGCAACCAGAGAAGGGACACAGCTGCCTCCAGCCCCAACCAAAGCTCATCCCCTGCCAAACCCAGCCTGGGAACCCTAAGATCTCCCCTCCCCAGGTTTGTAGGCCACCCTAGCCAAGACATATGGACACAACAGCTCCAGGTATTTCTGCCCTCTGAGTGATGCTGGTGCTGATCAGGATCACGGCTCCATTCATTCCCCCACCTCCGAGCTGCTGCTGGCACTGAAAGCATGGTCCTGCTGCCTGGGAAGCACCAGCAAGGAATAATAGGAAGAGAGTTTTCTCCAGATAAAACCTGCTGACCTGGGCTAATTAGGCTTTTTGTTTCCAGCACAGGTATATAAGTGCGTGTTAAGCTGCATGCTTACCCCCATGCTGCCTTCACTCCAGAGATGCTTTCCTAAAAGGGCTGAGGAACATGCTGCTTTATGGGGAAATCCATTGCTATAAGGCTGTCATTGTAATTTATGACCAAGCAGTAGCAACCATGGCCACCTTGTGCCATTGAGGCCAGCCCAGCCCCCGGGCAGCAAAGCACAGAGGAGGAGGAGGAGGAGGAGAGCACAGAGGGCAGGTTGGACCCAGATGATCCCTACACAGCAATGAACGTGTGTGAACGTGTGATTCTTTGTGCCCATTAACTACAGAGGGGAGGGAGCCTGAGCAGGTACCACTCAGCAGTCCTTGCACAGCCGTTCCCACAGAGCCAGGGCTCTCAGCTCTAAAACCAGCTCAGACCTCACAGCCTCCTCGCTTCACACGAGAGGTGGTGTTGTGAAAGGAAGAGCCAGGCAACCTTGCAGAAGAGATGGTGGAAGGAGGGAGGTGGCTTTCCTTATTAGGGCTAAAGGAGAGGTGGTACCCTGGACTCCCCGCAGTTCCCCTTTCCCATTTAAGAACCAAGCAAAGGTGCCCTACTTACAGACACGTGCAGGCTCACACCTCACCCACTGCAATGGTTTCCAAACCAAACAGCAACAGGAAACTTCAATGAAATTCCAAAAGGGAAATTGCTGTTACCAGCGCATACACACGTGCCTTCCTCCCTTCCACACCCCCTTCCTCCTGGGAAGGAAAGCAGAGGGTTTTGCTGCCAGGCAGCCCCTAGTGAACCCCCTTCACAAGCCCAGATCCGCACACGGCAGCAGAGCAGAGAGCACAGCCCCTCGGTCACTTGTGAAACATCCTCGTGGCAGGGACTTGCAGGAGGAGCTGCTCAGGTCCCGTCTCCCGTGCAAGGCCGAGTGCTCTGGGTCTGTGGTTGCCGATGAGGATGTGCAGGAATGGATGGGCTGTGGAACGGGTGAGGTGATGAGGAGGGAGTGAGGGGAGGAGGAAGAGTGCCACGCTACACCTCCGCTGCTTCGGCTCCTCCCGCTGCCTCCTTAGGATGTCACAGGCTGGATGGGGAGCAGGCTGCCGAACTTAAAATGCTGGATCACAGGGAACTTCTCCAGGCACTGCAAGAGGGGAAACAAAGAGAGGTGAGTTCAGCAGATGTTCCCCACTGCCCGCAGGCAGACAGAGCTGCACCCGGCCCTGGAGGCAGTGAGCTCAGGGCTGTTGGCTGTATGCTTGCGTGGAATCAGTCGCACATCCCTCACCCCACATTCCCAGCAGGCTCTTCAGTCCAGTAACACCTCATATTCCCATCTCCTTCCTTTTAGCCAGACTCCTTTGCTTGCTGAAATTCAGGCCGGGAGCATGAGCAGAAGAGGCGTGTTTATGTCAGCAGCTTTCTCTGTCACCACCTTCTCATTGCTCTAGCTGCTCCCTTTGAAGAGCTTCACCCTACAAACCCTTTGAGAACTGCAGAAACCCACAGGGAAAAGGCTCTCCCTCTCCAGGACAGTGCCCACGCTCCAGCTCTGAGCACCATCCTGCAGCCACAAGGCACTGCCCACGCTGCAATGCAGATTCTCAGGCCTCCAATAAATGAGCACTAGCAATTTTGCTGCCATAGTTTAAGATGCGATCCTATCCCCAAAAATCCCTCACTCCTAGAATTCCCATTCCCATCAGAGAGTAACGATAGGAGCAAGGATCACAAATCAATCTCACACACCCCCAGTGAGGCAGCTCAGCTCAGAGCTGCTTTTTCCAGCTAAGATGGGCTCTGTGCTGGAACAGGAACATCCCTTCTGCTCTCCTCCCCACCACAGCAGGAAGACCAGCAACTGCTGTCAAAGACCACGTCCAAGTTTTCCAAAACGTGCCTGTCAGAGCTGCTCAGGGCTTTATTCTTTGAGTCATCACAGATTCAGACTGCCCAAAAACTCATGCAGAGCATGGAATGGATTCACATCCACACAAACTTCAGCAGCATGTGTGCATCAATTCAATAGCTAGATCTACACTAAGATCAGCCACATTACCCAGGGCTGTGCTGACCAGAAGGGCTGCAGACCTCCTCACTGTGCTGCAATGGGGACTACTCTTCTACATGGGACATCGTGTCCAGCAGAAGGAAGGAGCAAGTCCTGCTACAATTAGGGCACATCACCTTCTGAGCTTCCCAAACACTTCCCAAAGGCTCAGAGCAGCCAGCATTTCCCAGCACAACCACTCCAGCAAATCCTCAGAGGAAACAGCACAGGATAGCAGTGACGTGAAGCAATAATTGAGAGAAATGAATACTGGAGATGTTGATGGCTGAAAATGTCATTCCAACTGGTTCCAAGAAGTCCCACAGAAGACCTGACTGGTTTGGACTCCTGATGGAAAGACTTTACCCCCAATGGGAAGAGCAAGAATCCTCCCCATTTAACACACCGACAGCACAAGGAGAGATGAGCAGAGAAACTTCTCCCTCTATCAGGGCTAGGACAATTTCTCTGTGTTATTAAAGGCTCCAGGAGACAGGACACTCCTGTGTCACCTGCAGGTGAAACTGATGCAGCCAATACTAGGCTTGACAGAGGGGACAAGCTTATTCCCTTCTTCCTGTCATCCCAATTGTGCCGAAGTCCTGGCTTGAGACTCAACTGGGGAGTAAATTCCTGCATCATATCCAACCTTTAAAGATGGAACCGGGACTAGATTAGTTACAATGGAAAGTATTTCCCATCTGACTGCAGTGGAGAAGGAAAGGTCAGGAGACTCAAAAGCAGGCTCAGGGGAAAAACATCAAGGCTGCTGCTTTAACCACACTCTATTCTGTCGACTTCTTCACTTGCCTTTGAAGGAGAGAATAAGAAAAGCCCTTGCACTTCCAAGCTAACACTTCTGCACCCATTATATTTATATTACAGACACATTTGAGATTTCATAAATGCATGGAGCAGAAGATATGTTGCCTTGAATGTACTCTCTGTCCACAGACCCTGTAACCAGCATCCCAGAGTGCATGGATCCAGGCAAGAGCACATGGATGTGCTTAAGCATTGTGTTGGTTGTTTAAAGTCATCCCATAGAGGGGACAGAGAAGAGCCAAAGCATTCACACTGCATTTTAAACAAACCAGACCTGGGAACTGCTGCACTTCTGCCAAGCAAGAGTGGTTTATGAGTGAGCATCTGATTTCTGCTGGTCTGCTCCAAGCGACTGAGCCTTTTGCCCTGCTGCCTCTGCACAAAAGCAGTCAGCACTGAGCACTTCCCAGTCACTGACACACTGTTGGTTGGAGACTCCATCCTGGATTGCATGTCATCTAATTACAGTGTGTGATCAGAGGGTGAAGATGCAGTAGGAAGAAGGGGGTGAGGAGAAAATCTTGCTCTCACATTAGCCAGCTAGACAAAAAAAAAAGTTATAAACCCAAACTTTTCCTCTTCCCTCCCTCCAACCCCAAGTACTGTCACAGATCTTCACTGAGCTCGAGGCAAACAGCTTTTGTGACAGTATGTGGGGCTGTTGGCTTGCTTATCTTCTGCTAACATTGGCAATGCCTAATTAGAGAAAGACAGCAAAGGTGAAGGCAACGCAGCTGGGAACATCCAGCAGACACTAATTCTATGATTCTAAGGTGATGTCCACACTCACCTTTCCTCCCCAGCTGGACAGGAACTGGCTGAGATGACAGTGGGGTGGGAGGCTCCCCTAAGCAGATACCAAAAATCAGTGGGAACTCCCCAGTAAGTTTCTCCATCCAAGTGAATGTAGGCACCATGCAGTGCCAGGACAAAACACTGCTGCATGAAGACCATACACTTAAGATCAGTCCTTTAAGATTTACAAATGCTCTTGGAGCAACAAGCTAAATTTGAAGTCACACAGCAGTTCAGCTCACTCAATGTCTTCCATACCTTACCCTAAATTTGTGCTGTTACTCTTCCCAGCAGCTTCCATATTCTCCCCCAACACAGCCACATTTCTAGGCGTTTCTAAAAACCCACCAGCATCAGGTTCAGCATTCCCACAGAGAATGTCATCTGCTATTTAACATAAAAAAGACTATGTCATGGGTGCACCTTGGCCTCTCCCACGCCCTAATGGATTCCCAGAGTTGTACTGTCCACAGAAGGCCAGGTAAAACTGCCAGCACACAGTGACCCCAAAACACCAGTAAACGTGCCCTTGCACTGTGGCATGTCCCTGCCAAGCTCCAGAAGGAACCAACCAAGCAGTAACAGGGCACGTTGGGCACCCAAACAGCACAGGACAACATGGGGTGCCAGGGGGATACCCAAAGGAGAGGGAAGATCAAAGGCAGTGCTGTGGAGGAGGCAACAGCCCTTCAGCTCTCAGGACTGGGGGCTCCCCCTGAGACCCCTTTCTCTCACACCAGAGCCTCCAGTTCAGGGTTCCCAGGAAGGCAGTGGTGATGAAGCTCCGAGCCAGGGCAGATCCAGAGGGGCAGCACAGAGGGACCCCCTGGGGGTCAACCCCCAGCCCTATTCTCCTTCTGGAAGCTGGAAGGAAAGCTGAGCTGGGGGCGGAAGGAGCCAGCGGGCCTGGGAGTGACACCTCGCAGATTAGAGAGGTATGTGGCCTGGAACCTAAACACAGGATGTGAAGCACAGAGGAAGGACTGGGGGAGGGAGTGCACCAAGTTCGGCACAGTTAACCCCTTTGTGCGCTACAGCTGCCCGCCCAGCCTTTGCCCCACGTCCCAGCAACAAACAGGAGCATGGTTGGCTCGAGCAGAGACCACAGGGTGCAGGAATAGCTCCTTCAAGCCCTACCCTAGGGGACTGATGCACCTCCCACAGTGGGCAGCTGTGTAATCCGTTGCTCCGGAAGGGCCAGCACAGTGCTGGCCTCCCCAGCCAGAGACGCTGCTTCTCAGCCAGTTCCTGCAGAAGGCCCAGATGTGGCAGTTCCTGTCCTGCCTTCCTAAGCTCGGGGTTAGCTCGAGCAGGAAGGAGATAAGGGACAGCCAAAATTGCCCAGTTCTCTCAGTCAGGGCTTGCCAGGAAAGCTTGCAGAACCCATGGAGAACCACCAAGCCCCACTGGAGGTTGTGCTTCACTGGTCTGGTGTACTACGTGGACAGGACTCAAAGCCAACAGAGATGGGCAGGAGGCATTCAACCTGCTTTGGTGCTCCTGAAACATGGGATGGAGATTTAAACTGGATCTTCTGCAGCTGGGAAGACAGCAGTGTAGAAATCAGAAGAATGAGTGTGTCAAAGTATTGGTCCTAACTTGGAGACCTGAGACTTGTACTATGGAACGATAAGAATTGGCAAAAGCCATGTCTGAAAGAAGGGCTGTTTTGGGACTGGTTTGTGGCAAACACTGTGCAGGCAGGAGCCTTCTTCAGGCCAGCAGCACCTTCTTCTGAGCCACGTAGCAAGGAGCACAGCTGGCTGTGACAGGCCCCTGCACCAACAGGCACGAGGTGCAGGCAGCAAAGAGCTGACTCACAGCAAAGCAGACACAAGGACCCGTGTGGCCATTGGGCAAGCATGAACCAGCCTCCCCCTACCCACCCACAGTGCTCACCTCTGCCTTGTACATGCGGATGAGGCCCTGGTTGACCTTAGACCAGGAGGGTACGGCACTGATGTTCCAGAGCTGGTTGGAATGCTCAGCGAAGGGGCCTGTCTTCATCTGAAAGAGACCCGAGAGCAAGGCTGAGGAGCGGGGCCATGCAGGAGCTGTGCACCAGTGGTGACTCACACTCACCAAGCTAACATTCCCACCAGCCCTGTGAGCCACACGCCAGCCACCCCACCGTGCCGTCCCTCCCTCCTTCCCTCCCTCCCGCTGCAGCCACAGCGCACGAAGCCATGGTGCTCCATCTCCCCACCTCCCTGACGAAATTAAGCCTTTTCCTGCCACACTTCTCTAATGAAACCTTCCTATGCACACCTCCCTGTTAATGGCTGTGTTATAAAACCCCACGTAAGTTCTATTCTCCCTCCAAGTAGAGCTTGGCTTAACGCTGTTCCAATTCTACCCAGAAACCTCCCTGTTCAGCACTGCTGGGCTTTCCAAGAAAATGACTCATTCCCCATTCAGATAATCAACAAGCAGCACAGACAACCACTGCTGCCTTCCCCGTATGCAGAGGGCAGTGCAGGTCAGCAGCAGCCCTGACCCACACCTGGGAGAGGAGGAGACCCACTGAAGCCCCACTCCAAACTGCTCCAGAGCTGCAGCTTGCTTGCTTGCGGCCGCACACCTCAGGGTGTTTTTTTGTTTAAGCACTCTGGCGTTTCTCCTCCCAGGAAGAGGGGTGTGGAGGAGGGAGGACAAGGGAAAAGCTGCAATCAGGGATGGTTGCATGCAGATTCCCTTGGTAGCTCTCTCTCTTCTTCTCCACGAACAAAAACAGACCCTCAGGGAGAGAAAGAAATATAACGCAGCCTCTCTGAGTGAGCAAAGTTCCCATGACATCAGAAACCACAAGGCCGAAGCTCACGCTAGAAAGGAGCATGGGGGAAGAGGAATCTCTTGGACTCTTGCTCACAGCTCCAACAACCAACTCCTTCCCTCCACGCACACAGAGGCCTGGCATGAGGGTGGGAAAACAGCCTCCAAACACAAGTGCTCTAAAAGGAAGCGAGGTTGCTCAATTCGCTTTGGGAAACTGCTGCTGCCCTTCTGCAAGGTCTGCATGGCATCAGCTGGCAGTAAAAAAAGAGAGGAGGAAAAAAAAACCATTACCTGGAGGATAACACGCTTCAAACAGGCTGACCTCGGGCTGCAGCTGTTTTGCACAGACCTGTCCCCATTCCTCTCTATCACTCTCATGGGCAGGGGAATGAGTGATGAGCCACCGAGCCATCCCTGCTCCCCTCTGCCGTGTATGCTTCTCTTGCAGATACAAGATGAAACATGCAGATAGACAAAGCACAACATCATTTGACAGAGCCGGCGTGCCATCAGGCAGGAGGATTTGGCACTGGCGGGCACCACACTACAGGCTGCACGTGGCAGGGGAGCAGGGAGCACGCGCGTGGCTGAGCCCCATGTGCTGGGCAGCTCAGTGGGCAGAGCTTCCCCTGGTGAGGTTGATTTGCTGATAATGCGTTTTGATGCCAAACCTTCCTCCAGCATTGCCATCCTTCGTATGGCGCAGCTTGCAGCAGCCCTCACATGTGTGCTTTGCTTTCCTCCCCATTCCTGAGCTGCAGCAGACTATCAGGGGGCAGCCAGCTCAGCCAGCCGGCCCCATGCTCCAGCTCTGCTGGCTCCATAAGCTCCTGGCACAGTTGTGACCGCAGCCCACTGGACCCTGCGTGCCCAGCAAGGGGAGGCATGGCTATTGTTTCAAAGTGGGGCGGAGGGGAGAAAGTGGATGAGGGAGAAAATGAGCTCATTCCACCCACAAAGGGAGAAGAGGGAGAGAAACAGAGCGAGATGGGGGGAACGAGAGCGGCAGCGAGCGCGCTGCAGTCCCGCAGTGACCCCAGGGGAACGGAGTGAGTCAGAGCAGCCATATTGAGCAGGAAATTACTCACAGACGCTGCGTTCCTGCCTCTCAGTTCCCAAGAGAATCAGCCTTTTGTAAATGGTTCCTCTGTCAGTAACTGGGGGAGGGGGACGGCTGAAGCTGTGCTTTCCTGTCAGCTCCTTCCCTTCCAGCCGAAACCCGAGCCCTCCCTTCCCAAACCTCCAAATTTAGAAGCCAGATTGAAGATGAAATTCTTGCTGCCTGCCCTGGGCTCTTAAAGCAACACGGCCCCGGCCGCCTCGTGCCTCCCCACGTCTCCTGAAGGAAGGTGCCTGGGGAGGCGACGGTTTCAGCAGGCTTTGGTTTCAGCAGGGTCAGGAGCTGGCAGCCTCTGCTCTGGGTTTTGTCCCATGCTGTGCAAGGACAGCATCCACGCTGTTTTTGCAATCCCCAGAACCCTTCCTTGCATTCAGAGCACAGAAGCAGGCAGGATCCCACCATGGCAGCAGCACTGCTGGCTCCATCACATGCTGGGATGGTTCCAAACCAACCTCACACCCTCGGGCATCTCCCTGCAGCCTGCCTCAGCAGAACAAGGTGACAGCAGGGGATAGCTCAAGCTCTAGCCACCTCCATAAGCCTCCCGTTCAAGGACCAACCTTTAAGAACACCCCTCAGGTTAGCCAACAACAGGTCAGCTTGCATAAAGCTTGCTACCATTCCACGTGCAGCAGGGTTGCACTGCAGGGCGGAGGTTTCAGCAGGTTCAAACTGGACATCATCTCCCTGTTACTTTAAGAGTCTGAGGTTTAAATATACACGTGGCAAACACCACCACGGCATACATTCATATCCCTGAAACGTCACCCAGAGGCTGAGAAAAAAATATCTGCTCAAGAGAATATTCTCTTGGTTGAAAGAAAACAACATAACCTGGTCATAGCTTGCTGAAATAAAACCTGTTCTCAGGTTGGTAAAACCTACCAGACCCACTATGGGAACTGCTGCAGTGTTTGCTATTTGCTCTACACCTTTACGGGAGAGCTGTTTTCAGATGAATAGCTCAGAAGGAAAAAATGTCATTCATTTATTAAAATCATTAATCCCTTGTACCTTTTTCTCCCTGCTATTTTTGTTTTGTTGTTGATTTTGGAGAGAAAGCAGAACTCATGGCGGCCCCAGCCCCCCCTGGTGGCAGGAACAAACTTTCTGGGCATTTGAAGGAGAAAAATCCCATTTTAAAAAGCAAATCTTAAAAAAAAAAATAAATAAAAAATAATTTAAAAAACAGGGCTTGCATGAATATGGATTGCAAATATAACAAGTTTGATAATTCAGCTTGTGGCAATCTCTCAGTGGCTCACAGCAGAGAGGAAGCTTCCCTGCCACCAGGTGGCACTGAGGAACTCAATAGAAAAAACTCCATGATCCTGAGTAAGTGTGCAAAAGAGAAGTGAAATCACTTATTAAAAACGCCTACTGAAAAGGTACCAAGGTACCTTTCTGCAAGCAAAAGTGGAGTGACCTGAAGCAGTATGGTGCTGTGTATTTTAAACTGTACCTGAAATCTGTGTACTGCAGAACCCTCTGCACACGTGAAGAATTGCATGCTCTTACATTTTTAACAGGCCAGTGCTCTGTCTGGATAGTACAGATGAAGAAAACAAAATGCATCTTTGCTCCCACTTCCCATGAGGGTGAAGCAGGATTTCCTGTCCTCAGCTCAGTCTCTTCACCATCCACAGCACAATTTAGCTCTGACTGAAGGTTAAATCCTGCAAGGCGCTGAACACCGACAAACCCTACTGGATTCAGCACGACTTGATGCTGCACCTCCTGGGGTTTGGGCCAAAGGTTCCTATGAAAATTTCCTACATGAAAGGCTGAGTTCACGCTCTGTAACCTCCCTTCTCATTTAATTACTAAATGAGGGAAGCAAGGAGGGGGAAAAGCAAACAGAACAAAGGGGTAGAACCGCACTCTGTCCTTCAAAATTAATCCCATCAACTCCTCCTTGCCACAGACAGGAAATCCCTTGCCACAACAAAGCACGTGGTTCTCACTTCCCTGCCTGGACCATGCAGCAAGGTGGATAGTAAAAGCATGGCCAGCTGAGGGAAACTGTAAACCCCTTCATTTAGAAACAGTGCTGGTGGATGGCAACACACCGAATATCAGCAGCCCAAGGGCCTTACAGAATTTGAGAAGAAATGTGCTGCTGATAGTGGTCCTGATAACAGGTGGGCTAACCTCAGCACTGTCTCTCCTTTGGACTATTCACACATCTAAAGGAGAATCTGCTCTGATCCGGAGAAGACCAAACTGCACAGAGGTATGGGAGTCTGCCCTAAGCAAAGGGAGGCCCAGGCAGTGCCCAAGGACTGGAGGGAAGGGAGGTTATCTTGGCAAGCCCAGCTGTTCTGCAGCTCCCACTTCATCTTTCTAGCACCAGTCTTCTCCATCCAAGTTCCCACTGCCTGATCCAAGACTATTTGTTTGCTCTTGTTACAGCTCCCTTCAATAGCAATCCACAGCCCATCTCCCCTAATCACATTTTCCCTTCAATATTCCAGTTTCAACTCATTCAAGGAGAGCACCTCAAACGCAACAGTGTTCTTCTGCCCAGCTCCACTACAGCAAACAGAGGAGGAAGAGAAAACCAGAGCCAGAGTTAACTGCCTACTATGAGAAGAACTTCCCTGTGGAAAAATCCTCACCTCCGTAATGAAGAGGATGCACTCCAGGAACATGAAGTCCTTATGGTTTTCATTTACCACCTTCTCATCAACAAAGTGTCGAGGCTCCAGATTTGGATGGTCTGAAAAGAGTAAAAGACAACAGAAAGTAACCTGCATGACATCCCCTTCTGAGACCAAATTCAGTCAGGCTTTGTCCCATCCCTCTTTCACATGAGGGCTCTCTCACCAGAACTTTTCAGAAATCAGCACAGAGCTATTGCTTTCCACCTCACCTCCAATGCCTTAGCAGTGAAACTGGTAAACTCCCCAGGGCAGAAAACGTGTACTTTAGTGCCAGAAACAGGACTCTCCTCTCAAAAAGATTGTAGTCATTGCAACAAAGACAGATGTACTGTACATGGAAGCTTTCCACCTCCTGGTTTAAGCAACTAGCTTTATTTGGAAACCTGAGAGAAAAAATCCAAGCCCCAAGCAAACTGTGCTGCTGTCTTACACACAAATCTGACACATTTGAATTTAAAAGTCAGTCTCAAGCCCCATTATCTTTGCAACCTAGACAGACAGGGCAGAGGGCAGGCTGGGACATGAGCAGATTTTTATTAGTACCTATCAGCTGGGAACTGCCCCATATGAAAGGCAGAAACTGGAAGTCATCCAAGCCCCAGACGCCCTGGCTGCCAGCAGGTTCCATCCTGTAGGTCTTCTGAAGTTTTCGCATCACTTCTAGGTACCTGAGACAAAAGAGAGGGAAGAGTTCAGACAAGGCTCTCTTCTGGACTCCAGACACAAAATCCAGATCTCTGCCTTCACACGGGAGATCCAAACAGACCATCCACTCTTGGAGGGCCCCATGCTCACTTCTGAACCCAACAGAAAAGCACGGATCAAGTTTAACAGCTGAATAAGCACCAAAAGTTGGTCCTGGGAAGGAGCAAACAGTCCAAGTTAACAGAAAACTACGAGCTCCCAGAGCAAGGCCCACTTCGATTAAGTTGCAGTCAATGAACATTCAGCATCACCTCTCTTCAAACAAGTTTTCCCAACCTTTGTAACTAGGTGGAAAATTAAAGCTGGAAGTACTATTGAAGGAGACTGTTTTCATGCCAGAGATGCAAATTGCATTAGATCTCTGGACTCCACATGCCAAGTCCAGTGGTTTTATCACGACCAACTCCACCTCCTGGGCTGGAAACACATCTTGAGGAGCAGTGGAGGCCAGCCAGCTTCACAGATTACTTTTTTTAACGCCTGAAGAGATGTAACATCTGACCAAATATTTCTGACTATCACAGAACTTTATCCAAATACTCTTGCAGTATCAATAACATTCCAGAAAGGCACACAGCCTCTAACAGATGATGTGCTATACTCTATTAAAAAGCACATCTGTTTCCTAAGTTTGTCTTCACTTTTTTTTCACTTTGCCCTTCTTGTGTAGGCCAGCAAGCCCATCAGCACCCTGTTCTTTAGCTAGACACAGAAGCCCTTGTTTTAAGCAGGTCATATCCCAGCTAGAGGACCTCCTTATAGTTTCTCACTTCCAAATGGATGTGGATGAGTGGAAGGAAGAGGCCACAATCAGCCCAACCTACAGGAGCAGTACGATGTATAGAACACATGGTAGTGTCTCACACATCTCAGACAGCTGGAAGGGGCAGTGTCTAGGATCTGCCCTCATGTGGCCCAACATTTCCAGCCCTTCTCCTTCTGGTATCTCACCTGTTAAATACTTTAAAGACAATAGCCATCTGGTCATCCACTCTGAGAACACCAATTTTGCAGAGGCAGCAGAGAAAGGCTGCAAACGCAGCTTCATGTCCTACAGTGAAAAGAAATGAGATGTGACATGGGTGTTTCTGATCCTGAAGACAACCTTATGGTGAGTACAACAGCTCTTCAAAAATCAAAGCAGGCACATTCCCACAGAAGAAGCCCCTGCCTGCTGTCCCTAATGTGCTGCCTTATCCTGTTACGACAAGAGCTGAGAGTATTTCATCCCCACACAGCACCCACCCAAAGTACGCCTTCCAGATATTCATAAGGTGGTTATTAACTTTGAAAGAAAAGTTCTTGAGGAAATGAAGCTCCAAGTGGGGGTGCTGGGAGCAAGGCAGGGCCTTCCTGGGAGCTCTGCAGTGGGATGTGGAGCACTGCAGAGTCGTCTGCTCAGAGGATATGAGAGAACTTCACATCTGCAAGTAAACAGATTTCCTCCCACTTAAAAATATCTGTGTCGGAAGGATGCAGATCCCATGATGCTGGCAGGAACAGACCGTCCCAGAAGGTACTGGGATCTCTGGCTGACCCTCTGCAGCTTGGTCCTCCAGCTAACAGCAGGGAAAAGAAACAACCAGCAAAATCAGAGCAATGTCTTTTTGTGGAAAGGACCACAGAACTAGGAAAAGTACAGGATCAACAGCTCCACATGGTAAAGAAGTGCAGCTCCCAGTGTGGGAACAAAGTACATCCATATTCCGGTCACCCTCAGCTAGAATACTTGGGACACTTGGTTGGGACACACAGGAGGGGAGCAAACGCTGAAATTCCTTCCCTGAGCTGACAAAACCCATGCCTGTGGGTCCCTTTCCAAAGACAACATCTCCCCCTGGTGCCAGTGAGCTGCAGCTTTCCTAGCAGACACTGCTCAACTTCCAGCTCTTCATCCTTTAACCCAAGTCCTCCTCCTCTTCCCCTCCCTGCCCAAATCTGAAGTCATCTTTCCTTGTAACCTTTGGTTAGCACACCCGTCTCAGCACACCTCCAGACAGAGGAGCAAAGCATGCAGTAACCACATGGTTTCAAACCAAAGATTCTGCATTTAGGTCTAACTGAAGCCAGAGTGGTTACTCCAGCCTGCAATTCAGCATCTTCTCAGGTACAAAATGCTTCAACATTCAGACTTTAAAGTCCTTCTCTAATCAGCAGTGTCACCTCCAAGGAGCACCGGACCCCAAGACACTTCCTGCTGTCTATGACCTTGCTTCCCCTTACTTCCAAATAAGCAATTACATTTTATTCCTCTAAGTTGTCTGTTGTGGATCAGCTGTGCAATATTGCTATATGCAGTAAAGCTACTCCTACAGTTCATCCCAGAATGGCCTGCACAGCTCGATTCATGTTTCCTCAGATGAGACATGTGAAGAGTGTCACAACCTACAATGAATGCTGAGTGAGGAAGAAAGTGTTTGTACCAAACCGACACAGAGAAAACTTGCTAAAACATATTTAAATACACCCAGCACCAGGCTCCAAAGGGTCACTACCCAAAGGAGAGCAGTCTCAGCCACTGAGCATGCTCAGGTACCTGTGCCATAATCAATGCGGGTAGAGTTCCCCACGGACTCTTTCAGGTACACGGCCACTTCTGGTGCAGCGCTGGCCAAATGTTTGGGGATCACTGTTGCCACCAAATTTTCTGCTTCCTGGAAGACACAAAAGACTCCCCCAAGTGAGTGTACATCTGTCACAGTCCCCAAGGGCAAGACAATGCTCACACACTGATGCAGGGGGGGAGCTTCAATGGTGCACTCTTACATATGTAAGAGCCAGCAATAACAGAGAGAATTTGCCTATTCTAGAAGCAGAGAAATGGAATTATTCTGGGAGAGCTTATCCTAACATCCATCCAGGCCACATGTATCCTGCAGAGGAAAAAAGAAAAAAAAAGATACATCAGCTCAGTTACCCACTGGTTCACCCACAGGACCAAAGCATTAACAGAGCAGCAGACCACCTGCAAAAGGACATTCCTGCAAAAGGACTCTGTGCCACCTCCAGAGCTTGGTGCAGGGCATGTACTCTGAGTTGAAGAACGTCAAGCAGTTTCACAACTTTCCTCTGATCTTCTCTGTCATCTTTTCGCTAATAATTACAAAGCAAAGGTCTTCCTTGGGCTCGAAGGACCCCAAAGGCTGATTCAGGACTTGGAAACTCATCAAAGAGCATTCACATGGACCATATGGTCTCATAAGAGGTGAAGACAGCAACAAATCAGGAGTAAGTGATATATATCAGGAGAAGGATCCTTCTCAGCTTATCTGCGCAACTCCTTTGTAAACTGCTCGCTTGCCACACAATGATGGAATCATTCTGTTGTCCCTGCTAAACATGCTGCCCTTCTGTAGGAGCTGCATTTAACATTGTACATGAAAGACATGCTCACCTGGTCTAGTTTGGCGTACCAAGTCCTGAAGGCTTTGTTCCCAAAGCGAGAAGGTTGATCCACTGGTGGGGTTTCATCGATCCATCTGTCAAGGGTGTTCAGAAGAGCCACCAGCTTTTCAATTGGCTACGGGGAGAAGAAAAATGAGGGGTCATGGTCTGTCATGAAACACAGCAATCCCTCAGGCCTCTGCCCCGGCTTGGAATTGTTGAAGCCCACACTGCCCTCCTCAAGGGTGGAAAGCAGGAACAGGATGTGCCAACTTCCCCCAAAATGCAGAAGGGCCAGGCAATCCTCCCTCCCTCCTCAGATCAGCCCAGTACAAAGCCCAGCCTGAGGCAGTCTCTCCAGTCGCCCACACAGCCTTTCATCAGCTGCAACAGCACTATGCTCTAAAACCTCAGGGAGAAGAGCTAAAGCAAGCTCCTAGCTGTAGGACACGCAGGACTGAATAGCAGGGAAGTGTCACATGATTCAGGCATCTCCAACAAAACTCAGTCTCTGCATTTTCAGGGTCCTGTGTATCCCACATAGCACGTACCATACAGTCACACCAGTGGCTGTGTGGTCTTGTAGGTAAACTTCCCTTCTCAAGGCCTCTAATCCTGTCTTGGAACATCTCAGGAGCCAGGATTTGCAGAGAGGGTGTTTGCATTTGTACAGCACCCAGCACAACGGCCAAATCTCAATTCAGCATTCTTGGAGTAACCACATTGCTTCAAACTTGCACCAGCCAGACTGCTAAGGCAGCTCCCACCCCATGATACCTAGTGCATGCTACACCTTGCAAAAATGCATAGGCAAAATGCAGTCCATCCTGAAGATGAGACAGCCTGGCTTGCCCACCAACAGTCTCATCAGAGCAAGGATGAGAAGCTCTGGGTTCTAAGAAAAACATCTCAGTACAAGAACAATGCTGATGGGAAGACAAAGACAACAGCAAGAAAAGAGAGCTGATTTCTTGCATCCAGTGCTGGAAGGAAAAAGTGAGGAACGTGTGCGTGATTTAGGAGAGAGTGACCGGAGAAGGCACACCAGCAGCCACAAAGGAAAAGAAGCGAGATCCAGAGAGCCAGAGGCAACACAGTATGGTGTCACAAGCACACTGTAGGCCACTATTTAAGAAGCTTCAAGCAGTTTTATTAGGAGGCTCTGCTGACAACCCATGGAGCCTGCCAGAGGGTCTGGGATTCTCCTTGCCCAAATACAAGCAGCCAGAGAGCCATCAGATGCCACAGCAGCTGGCCAAGCCCTGGGCAATGTAGGCTTCTCTGTCTCAAGAGGAGATTCCTCCTTCAAGGGGACAAAGAGGACAGCAGAAGCAGCGGCTGGTTTGACTTTGCTGGAGGCATCGACCGTGTGAAGCCGGCTGGTCTCCTGGGCTGTGGTTCAATTCTTCCTGCTGCCTGCCGGGAGGATGAAGAAAGAGCCGAGACCAGCAAGTTTCCAGCCCTTGAAGTGCTACTTGAAGGGGGTGGGGAGGAGACACAGGCACGGCCAAACTGGACAGCAATCCCTGTCCCCTCTGAACCCATGAGAAACAGCCTCACAGCAGCACAGTATCCCTCCAGCAGCACTCCTCAGAGCTCAGGATGTGGTGGGATCAGGGAGTGGGGACAGGGATCAGGAAGGACAGGGATCCACTCATTCCACAGGACTTCAGCACTTGGCTGATGAGCAAGGCCAGGGGCTGAGAGGAAGGGCAACACCTCACCTGAGCACACCAGGAACGCAGAGGACCAAAGCACAAGTGTGCTGAGGGATAGAGGTCCTCTGGGGAGGCTGCACGCTTGTGCCAAGGATCTGCACAGACCAAGAAAGCACAGCCCTCTTTGCTTCAGCCCTATGCTGCCCAGAATGCTGCAGAAGCTCAGCACCTCCCCACTGCAATGGGTCGGGTTTGGACTCAGCTCCATCCCTTCCTGGCTATTGCATTCCCCTCCAATTAAGCAACAGCATCCTCAGCACCGGGTTGCATTAAATAATTAAATCGTGCTGGTGATTTATCCGCCGGCACCAGCAGCTCATTATGAGCAGCTCCCGTATTTCAAACCCCTCTCAGCAAGCACTCAGAGCTGCCTGGATAAATGGTTGCTGAGGACGGGTTCCTTCCCCCTCCCCAGATCTGCCTGCAGGCCTCGGGGAGCACAGAGTCCAACCTCCCCTTCCCCACTCACTTGCTTTAAAAGGATTAAAAAGCGCAGCCCCACTGAACGCGGGTGAGCAGGACCCAGCTGCCGGCTCAGCCGTGCCAATAAATAATTAAAGAGATGCGGCTCAGTTTGGGCTCACGGCCCTTTGAAAAGGGGTTATTAAAAGCAGCAGCTCCCATTGTCCTGCAGAGGAAACTTGTGCAGCCGGGGCTGACCCCAGCAGGGGGAGGGAGGGGAGCAGCGGGGCTTACGGGAACACAACCATCAGCACCACTGCAGCCCTGTTTTGCCTGGCTGGGTTTTTAAGCTCTATTTTTGCTTTACCTTTCCAGTGATCAAAGCAAGGACAGCCACCGCACCCCCCCTTGCTCTCTTTGCTCTTCCTGTTGTGCTGATTTCGCATCGCCTTGACCCTGAGTCTGCCGCCGGTCCCAAAGGAGAGCTGCAGAGCCTCGTGCAGAACAGAGACCTGTCAGCATCACTCCCAGCAGGGGCAGGAGGAGGTGCTGCAGAGGCATCAGAGCAGCCAGGGCCGCCCGCAGGGACCAAACCTGATCCTGGGGCAACTCGCACCCTACCAGGGTGGGGAGCTGCTGAAATTAGAGCATTTGCTGCTTCCCTTTATAAAGCAGAGCAAGCCATGAGGCCAGCCAGGTTTCCCCAGTACTGCTGGGCTGTGGCTGCTTAAAGGGAAGGTCTGCCCCTGGCACAGCCAACATTAACCTCTCCCCTTGCTGCACTGCTGCTCTGAATAAAGTCAGCTCTGAAAGCCCACTGCAGGCTGCAGCCCAGCACCCGCTGCACGGATCCCGTGTGAGAATTACTCCCTGCAGAAGGCAGGTCACAGCCTGCTGATGTCACACAGCTCCTGCCAGATACAATGCCACAGTCCTACACAGCCACCCAGCTACTGCTACTCGTCACGTGTCTCCAGCAAAACTCCAGATTTCTCAGCAGAAGAGGAGCAAGCTCAGCCAATATCAGAAGGGGCTCAGCCCCCAGAGGACCAGGCTCTCACTCCAGCAGACTGTTTGCTACCGACACACAGAACCTATTAAGCTGTCTCTTTCTAAGCAGAACAGACCATGCTTGCAAAGCAATACAGTAAGTCGCAGAGGATACGCGTTCAGCGGAAAGGATTCCAGGAGGTCATTGCCAAAGGAAGGCATCTCCAGCATTTGATCAGGGAGGAAGATGGGACAGCACAAAAGCACATCAGCAGCAGGTACGGGCAAAAGAGAAGAAAGCAGAGCAGAGATGCAAGCAGAGGCCACAAGGGGCTGAGCTTTTAAAAGCAAAGATAAGCAGTTTGATCTACAAACAAACCTGCATGAACAGGCAACCTCATCAACAAGGCGACCCAGGGGATGCTCCACCTGTGCCTCCAGTCACGGGTTATTGCTCTCCCCCATGCGAGGGGAATGGGACATGTTCTCTGCCACATCCCCAGCAGCTGGGATCACATCTCTTGTTTATTGCCTGTACTGGGGCTGTGGGTGGATCAATTCACTCCAAGAGGGATCCGCTGCACAGACACAGCCTGACAGCCTCTCCGAGGGGGTGGAAGAAGAGGGATTTTTTGTTCCTTCCTTTTGTTCATTTTTAATGCTTTGTTTCCCTAGAACTGCTCTATGAATGAGCAAGATTATGACAAAGGCAAAACTCAAAGGTGAAATACAAACAGTGGAAAGCAAGAGTGGCATTTGATGGCACATTCTATCGAATTAAAGGAACAAAGGGTGGACACAAAGCCTGTTAGAGAGGCATTCGTTATCCCATATCCCCCCCATGAAGTACAAGCAAAGTTTCTCATTCACACATTGGCTCCTTGAAGGGAAGGCTGGACTTTACATGCCTGTTCCAGACATAAATGGCCAGGCTAAAGACTGTTGTAGGCTGCCTTCCCACACAAGAATGAATCTATAAACACACAGGCCCAGTCTGCTTTCCATTCCACCTAGATCTTCTCTAGCCAGACTGTTCCCAGCTGTCTTGCACAGCTGCGATAAGCTTAAACAGTAAATAGATACCAAAGAATCTCCTCATTCCAACACAGAACAAGGGAGAATTCAGCATGCAACATGGAAACACAGCCAGCAGCCAGCACTGCAGCACCCATAGCGACCTCAAAACAGTCATACACATGGCTGGGGGAGGGCAACAGCAGCAGGGAAGATGCCCTCCCTCCCCTCTGGCATCCCCACTGGCTCCAAAACACTATGCCATGTCCCTGACAAGGTGAATGGACATTAGAACTGGCCCAGCACCACTTAGATGAGGTCACACAGAGAGGCAGTGGGAGAAGCAGGAGCTCTATGGACTTCTCTGCCTTTTGGCTGCAGCCAGGGGAGAGTATCACATCTACAAAACAACTCTGGTTGAAGCCAGACCATAAAATCAAGGCCAAAACATATCCCTTCTGAAGTTTCCTTTCCATCACCAGTTTCTGTCCACCTGTAGCTCGCTCCATTTCCTACCAGCAAGCATAGAGAGCCTCTGCTCCAGGAGGGAGCACCACAGGCTGACATTTACATCCCCAAACACAGCCCAACTATATTTATTCTCCCAGAGAAGTTGTCAGCTCATCCCTTGCTTAGGAGATATTCGTTGTAGAGACCAAAATAAAAAAATAAATCAAAAGCAGCAAAAAAGGAGAAACAAGCAGATCTAAACTCTCCTCCTACCTCTGAAACGTTGTATTCACAGGTCAGTTTCCTGCCCTTGACACCTTCGTTCAGGGTGAGGATGAAGCCCATGTAATCTGCGTATGCCTGCAAACACATCCAAAAGAGCAAGGTGTCAGTGAGTACCCACAGTCTGTTTGAATAAGCACTGCAGCATGATCGTGCTCCTGCACACCAAGGGAACCCTTCCCAGAACACAGCATTACTTTCTTGGAGACAGCCAGGGCACAGGGCTTGCTGTGAGGTTATTGCTATTTCTGGCAGACCTTGAAGGCAGATGGTGACTGCACCAACAACTCTGCATTGCTGAAAAAATTATGGAGAGAAGAATTCTAAGAAAGCTCACACTGCCCCTGAAATCCTTCTCTCAGCTCCCTGCCTCTTATCAGGTCAAATTCACACTCCCTGGCTCTACAGACTCTCTGTGGTGTCCAAACATCCCACTCCGCACTGCTTCTCCCAGACCTGTCATTATCTCCTCTTTTCTCCTTCTGTCCTCCTGTGTACATGCGTGATGGAGAAGTGGGAGACAGCCCAAATTCCTCAATGCTGTGCTCTTTATATGAGCTGCTTTTGAAATATCATATGCAGAATAGCTCAGTAGCTCTGTCTGTGGAATGGTTAGACTAGCACACTGCCTACTCTTGCTCCTTGGGACCCTGTCACACAGAAATCCAGAGTGGAGCAAGTCCTCAATCCCAGAAGATTTAATAAAGGGAACTGCAATCCCCAGCTTTGCTAGAGAGCTGGCTACTGTAAGCTTCTCATAAGACATTAAGCAAGAGTTTGTTCCTAAACAGCAGAACCAACAGGAGAAACAAGTCTAGGCCATCGCTGCCATCTCTTAAAGGCAGAGAACAGAGAATCTGCCTATTCCACCAGCCCCACAGACACTATAAACAAGAATTACCCAGTAAATTGAAGGCTTTGGCTCTAGAGCCCTTTCCAGTACAGCAGGGTGGGAAGGCACCAGGAACCAACCCACTCTGATGTCGTAAGAGGGCCAGACAGCCAGATCACATTCAAGCTGAGTTCAAACAGCGCTGGGTAAAGCCGGTACATCACAACATACAGGTTATGTGGGGTGAAATAGTTACCACTTGGCACGTTGGCAGGGAGCAGTAATAATTCTTACACCTCTCTTATCTCCCTCAACCTTTGGGCTCTCCCCGGCTCCTTTGTCTGAGCATTTGACTGCCAGACTCCACACCTCGCTGCCAAGTCATTTTCCTACAAACAGGCAGCGACTCCTGCTTTAACACACATCAATTAATTTCCCATGGCTTGCCCAAACCTGCTTTACACCTAGTGGCAGTTACCAGTCCAGACTCAGCTGCCACTGTAACATAATAAGCACTTACCAGTTTTCCCTGAACCGACAGACATACCTGAGAGCGCTTCCACTTGCCCATGTCAGAAACCATGTTTATCTCCTTTCTGGGGATCATGAAGCTCTGCTGGAGGGGAGGAGCCATCTCCTCTGAATTGCCTGGGAGATGCAAGAAAGAGGTGAAACAGAGGCAGTGGAGGAGAAGCAATCTTCTAACCTTCCTCTCTTAGAAAGCAACATTAATGTCCCAGGGGACTGAAAGCAAACAAATCTATCCCAGCCTGTGCCTTTATCTCACCAAGTCCTGCTTGCCAAGCAGTATCCTCTCAATAACATTCCCTTGAGGACAGTTGAGGGCTTCAGAAGGTTGCATTACATTCACTATCTCTACTGAAGATGAGCTCCCCATTCAGAGAGAGAAGCCTGCAGGAGCTAGCAGTGATAGCATCCAGCTAGTTTCACTATTTCTAGGGTGAACAAGCCTCGGGTGTTGCTAAAGCACACTAAGCTTTTCTGACAAACCACCTGTTCTCAGGGTGCTATGCCTGAGCTGCATTCCCCTAAGAAGGACAATTCCTGCAGACAACACAAGAGCAACTCAGTAGATGGCAGCCCAGAGCAGCGCTCCCCATTCCAGAAGCACTGAGGATGCTGGCACGCAGCACCTTAAAGATTGACACTACAAAGATCATTTTGAGGCAGTTTACAGTCTTTTCTGTAAGCACAACTTTTACCATAGAATCAATGACTATCCCAGTTGGAGAGGACCCACGAGGATCACTGAGTCCAACTCCTGCCTCCACACAAGGCCACCCAGCAGCACGAGGCAGCAGAGCAGACCTCTGTTAAAGAAACCAAGGGCTAATATGAATTCTATCAGGGTCACCCTGCTCATCATATGAACCCCAGCACACCTGCAGGCCTCTGCCTGCTCAGCACATGACCCATAGTCTTTCAGCAGTTGCCTTTGTTCTAATTGCAAGAAATGGTCATTCTAAAAACACCGCTGTTCCCTAAACCCCAATACGTACTGGGGATCCTTCCTAAAAACATTCCTTGCCTCACTCCCACAGTGCTACAACTACTGGCTCAAAGAATAACCAGCCGTGTCCTTTCAAATGTGGGAGCATTCTGGTTTCATACAGCACCAGGAGCAGCACTTCAGCGACCGCACAGCACAATGCTGCACGCTGGAACTCCTTGAGACGTTATTATAGGCTGCATTTCCAGAGAAATAACCCCAAGAGCAAAGGCAGCCCTACAGCCCCACCCCCGCGGTGTGCAGAGCAGGGAAAAGGGAACCCAAAGTTCTGGGAAACACAAAGGACGTGTATGGATGTACCACAAAAGTTTGGGAAATCGCTGAGGAACTTCCCTGTGCCGTGAGCTCTGTCTGAGGGCTGGTGTCACCTCTTTGCCCGGCCCGTCTGCCCGTGAGTTTAAGAGAATCAGACTGAGGAACCACACAGGAGGGCTGGAGGGGAAGCCGTGCTGCTCTCCTCCGACAGCTCAGAACCACCACTTCGGAGCCCCTCGTCAGACACGGGCACGGCGGATCCCCTCGGGCCGAGGAGCCCCGGCTCGCACCGCCCGGCCCTCCCCGCACTGCAGGCCCGCGCTCGGCTCGGTCCGCCCCGCTCCCCGCAGACACACAGAGAGGAGCGACGGCTGCGGGATCCCGCCTGCCGCGAGGTGAACCCCTAAGGAAAGCCCCGGCCCCCCGCCAGCCCTCAGGGCAGCGCGGCCCCCAGCCCTGCCCTCACCTGCCCGCCGCTCGCTCTCTGCCATCTTCCCGGAGGCCGCCGCCGCTCTCACCCCTCACCTCTCACCTCTGACCCCGAACGCCGAGGCCGCCGGCGGCCATCTTTGAGCCGGGCACGCGCCGCTCTGCCGTCTAGCCTGTCTGGCTGACCGGCCTCCCTCCCGACCGCCAAGTTGTACCGTTGTCCTACACAAGGGCGTGAAGGCGGCCGTGCTCTCGCCAAGCACCGAGAGAGCAGCCGGTAACGGGAGAGCCGCCTCGCCGCTCCGCCTGCGCTCGCTCTGCCGACGGCGGAGTTTTGCCCTTTCCAAAAATGGCGGAACCGGCTTCGCCCCGCACCAAGATGGCGGCGGGGCGGCCCCGCCCCCTGTCGGCCGAGCGGGGCGGCGGCGCCCGGTGTCGCCGGTGTCCTTGCGGCGGGCGGCGGCGGCCGGGAGCGGAGCCATGCTGGGCTGCGTGGCGAGGGCGGCGGTGAGTGCGGGCCGAGAGGGGCGGGTGGAGCGCGGGGTGCGTGAGATGGCGGCCGGGCCTCGTCCCCAGCCTGGGGGGAGCGGGGGACGCGGGCGGTGTCCCTGTGTCACACGGAGGGGTGCGGGGGGTGGCAGCCCGCAGGCCCGCCTGGGCCTCGGCATCGCTGCTGGCACGATGTGTCCGTGGAGGTTGGGGAGCGGCTCTCAGATCCCCAGCCCACCGCCCGTCCCTCGGTGCCACATCTCCGCGGGTCCGGAACACCTCCGTGCACGGTGACACCGGGCAGCTGTGTCAGCGCAGCACTGCTCCTCGTGAGGAGAAACGTTCCCCAGTACCCAACCCGAGCCCCCAGCGCTACACGGGGCCGTCACCTCTCATCCTGTTGCCGTTCCCTGCGAGCAGAGGCCGACCCACCTCCCCACAACCTCCCTTCAGGATGCAGGGAGCGATGATGTCTCCCCACAACCTCTTCTCCGCTCTGAACCATCCCAGCGCCCTCAGCTGCTCCCGCAGCGCTGTGCTCAGACCCGCACAGCTCCATGCCCATCTCTGGACACGCTCTGGAACCTCAGTGACTTTTTAGGGGCCCAGAACTGAACACAGCACTGAGGTGCAGCCCCACCAGTGGCAGTATGGGGCCGCAGTCACCTCCCTGTTCCTGCTGGCTGCATTATTGCTGATACAAACCAGGATGCCGTTGGCCTTCTTGGCTACCTGAGCACACTGCTGGCTCACGTCCAGCTCCAGATTCTTTTCCTCTGCACACCATTGCGGCCACTCTGCCCCAAGCCTATAGCACTGCGCAGGGCTGTTGTGGCCAAAGTGCAGCACCCAGCCCTTGGTTTTGTCAGAACTCACTGACACCACTGATGGATGTCAGGGCAGGAGGCAGTGCAGGACAGCGTCAGCTTTGTGGATTCACTCCATGAGGTGTTTTCTCAACCTCAGGGCTGGAGGGGGCTCCAGTTTCTAATTTAAAAAGACAAACACACGCCTGTCATCTGACACTACACGTTGTGGCTGTGCTGGGAATCAGACACCGCTCTGAAATCCCTCTCGCCCCCAAGCCTGCAGGTGGACTTCCCATCAGCTTTACACACTCTGGAAAAGGTCACTTGCTGTACTGGAACATGGCCTGGGAGCATTGCCAGCTTGCAAGCTGGATCCATCCACACACACTGCGCTCTGCTGGTGTTTGTTTCCCTGGTGCTTGTGGGGAAAAGGCAGGCTACTCACTATCTCTGCTGCCAGCTGCCTCTTCTGTTCAGCTGTGATCACTGCTCCTCCTCCCATCAAACGTTTGAGTTTGACCTCGATCCAAACAAGCAGAGGGCAGACATAAAAGAGAAAACATAAATCTACTCTGTGTTTTAACTTGTGTTTTCGACTAATTTAGTGTGGGGTTTTCCCTGTTTGCTTGGAACCATCAGGTGTGATCTTAGCTGTGTTTAAAGCCTTCTTCTGTCTGCCCCTCAGTTGCTTAGAGGAGCTTAATAGTCCTTGGGACTGCACCGTTCTGTTGTTGCTCTGCTTTGGAGATACCTTTTTATTTATAAGGGTTGACAACCCTTTACTTCCCAAAGTCTTGCCATAATGATCATACATGCATGGAAGAAGGGCAGGAAGATATTACCTTTAGCCCCAAATGCCTTCACTTCTGCCATGGCTGGAGGCCCAGAGCTATTGATCGAAGAGCAGTCAGCAGGCATGGACCAGACAGTGCAGGGCTGACAATCAGTGACCGAGGGAGGGCTGCCTGGAAAGGTGCCTTCATGGCATTTGATGGTGTGATTACCCCCAGCTCTCCCTGACCTGTGCCTGGCCTTGAGCCCTCTGATCGGAGCAGTCATGTGGCAGTTTGCTAATCAGGTGACGCCCTGCACGGGCAGCCCGTTGTCAGGGGGAAGAGGAAACCAAGACAGGCCGAGGGAGAGCTTTACGATCATTTCTGTCCTCCCAGCCATGGATAGCAAGCAGAAGCAAGCAGAGAAGGTACGGTATCCTCATGCTGCCATGATCCCTTCATTTCTTCCCAGCCCCTCTCTTTTAATGCTTTAGTAATTCTCCCTTCTTTTATTTTTAACCCTCCTTCCCTAAACCTTGATCACATGGTTCTTATCATGTCCTGCAAAGAGCATAGAGCATTTTCTCTGAGGGCTCAGCACCATGCAGAAAGCTTTGTCACTTTGCAGATTTTTCTTCTTCTCTGTGCTTAACTCCTGGGAGCTGGGAGGTATGGGGGCATTTATTTTCTTATTGCCTTGGAAAACAAAAGACTCCTGTAGAAAAGCACCTGGTGTGATGCTGTCTAAGGCTTTCACTCACTTGTCTGATCCCCAAAGCCTGTTGCCATCACCCCCAATTTCCTGACCAGCTCCCAGTGACTCCTCTCCAAAGGTTCCTATAATTTGAACAGCTCTGTACTGGTACATCTGAATAGAGGCTCTCCTAATATTGCTGGGGCTTCCACCAACTGGGAGGTTCACCAGCACGAAGAAGCACTGCCCAAAGGCCAACACAGCCAGTCCTTCCGTGACCATCACTTGTGGTAGACCATCCCTGGCCAAAGCAGAGGGGTTTTAATCCTGCGTCAGACTTAGCTCACCTTAACTAAATCTGCCCCCCCGTTCCACCTCCCAAAAGCCTAAAGCATAATTTCTTTTGTTACAGAGGTCTGCTTAATTTTTTGACCTTATTCTATTGTATATCCTGAGAAGCAATTAAATGGCTTCTGACTACCTAAGATTAAGTTTCTTTCATGACTTACTTCCCACAGGATGGAAGTTTGACTTGAGAAACATGGAGATACTCAGCTAGAAGGCACCCAGACAGCAGGGATGTGTTATTATCCTTGCAGTGTTTCCTATATTGAGATAAGAATCAGGAGCCTGATTGATCAGATTTCTCTTGCAGCTTTTCTGAACGTCTTACAACCAGATAGAGATTAGAGATTGCTAGAGCATGCAGTATAGATGTGCACCTTGCATTGCTTCATGTGCTCTGTTCCCCTGTTGAGATACCTTCAGAATCTGGGATGGGGACTCCCAGATCCAAGTTGTTTGTGACTCCATGCACATCAGGGGGAAGTTCTGTCTCGACATTTGCTTTGTGCTTTACAGGCCAGGCCCTATGGCCTGCTGAAGCCAACAGCTTTAGGCAAGATCCCAGGCAGATTTCTACTTCATCAAGAAGCATTGCCCCATCTCCCCGTGCCACCACTTCAGCAGACACTGGACCGCTACCTGCTGACCCTGCAGCCCATCATCAGTGAGGAGGAGCTGAACCACACACAGGAGCTGGTGGCTGAGTTCCGCAAGCCAGGAGGTGTTGGGGAGAGACTGCAGAAAGGCCTGGAGAGGAGAGCGAAGAAAACAGAGAACTGGGTAGGTTGGGACTCTGGCCCCAGGCCTTGTGTGTTGGGAGAGGGCTGATACATGCCTCTCCAGTGTCTGCTGGGATCTGTGTTATTATGTCACAGTCTTCATGACCAGCCTGCTGCTGACCTCCCTAAGATGTGCATGACCCTCACCAAGACTTGGGTGAGCAAAGATTTACAGCAGAACAGGGAGTCACTGCCCCTGGCTGTGGCTGCTGAAGCCCTTAGCTTGTTGGCATCACACAGCTGGCACTAAGGAGTTGAAGGAAACTTTCTTTTTGAGCCCGACATCAAGAGCCCCTAGTGCTTCACTCCAGTGCCCCTCTACCATAAACAAAACATAAAACCCAAACAATCTGTTTGCAAAGTGTGGGGCAGAACTGTGGTCAAGGTGTTGAGAGCATTCAGCTTGGCTTGGGTCAAAAAGCAGCAGATGCTGTGCCTGCATGTTGCCTTTCTCCATGCCAGCTCTCGGACTGGTGGTTGAAGACAGCTTACCTGGAGTATCGCCTGCCAGTTGTGGTTCACTCCAGCCCTGGTGTGGTTTTACCTAAGCAGGATTTTCAGGATCGACAAGGGCAGCTCAGGTAAAGTCTTCTTCTGCCTTCCCTTGGGCTTCAGATGGGATGAGCTACCTCTTTTGGACCGAGGGGTGGGTATTGAGGCTGGCTGGGAATAGTTGGCATGCTATAGCCTGTCCATTCTGTGCAAGAGGGCTATACAGATAAGGAAAGGATGGTAGGCTGTAAGGAAAATCCTGGCTATAAGGTGAAGAGTCTGGTGGTTCAGGCACTGAACTGGGACTCAAAACTTAAGTTTGTCTTTGCTTGACAGCCAGTTCCCCGACTGGAGGCATTGCGAGGATATATCTGACACACTAAAAGCTAGAAGGCAGTAAGACTGTGCAATTAAAGGAGGCATAAAGACTAGCCTAGGTGTGTAAGTTTGCTAGTTCCGAGGGATAAGGGAACCTGCTGCAGGGACTGTCTCCTGTTTTGTCATGTCATTTATGTTTGGAAAACCAGCAGTCACCAGTCTCTCTCCATGACCAGCTCCTTTTTGCAGTTCTGCCCTGCCCTTTGTCTTCTGCCAGTGAGCACCTGTGTCCCACAGCTAAAACCAGCCCACCGCTGCCCACATGCAGCAGATTCTCTGGCTCATTCCTGAACCAGTGTCTGGTTCACATCTTCTCTTCCCTGTGGACTCCCTTTAATTTTTAACCACCACTGTAGACGTGTGT